TCAATCAATCAATCAATTGACAAAAAAAAAAAAAATTGTTATCCAATCGAATCAAGCGATTCGATTGGATCTTGATTTCGATTTAAAATCAAGGACACTAAAATGGGTGTCAAATGTGATTTCCGCAAATAAACTCCCACATTTGAACATGTTGGGTGCAAGTTCAGCGGGGGGGGGAAAAAAAATAAAAAAATTCGGACATTTTTCGGTTTATCCGGAATTCCGGACAAACAGGGTGCCGGATAAAGCGGTCGGATATTCCGATCACTTAATCCGACCGGAAATGATAAACAACCTAGGAAAAAATGAACTTAGGTCTTGGGTTTCGTAGACGGATAAAAATTTTGCATAAAAATGTCACCACCTGCATCCAAGTCAATAACATGGTGCCCCCCCCCTTCCCGCTCCAGCGGTCGGTCAGGCAAGGGGATCCAATCGACCTGTACCTCTTCCTTATTATTATGGAGGCCTTATCGACCAACCTATGGTGCAACAAAGATATAAAACGAGTTGAGGTGGCAGGCATCCTGGAGGAGGCGGTCCCGGTTTCCTCCCTTTTCGCAGACGACCTGACAATTATAGTGGATGCATGCATGCAGAACCTGGAGGAGATCCAGACCCTGATGGATAAATTTTGTCATTTATCAAACATGATGGTGAATTGGGGTTAAAAAACAGCGAGGTGGTGTCTCCATCATTAGGGGGGCCAGCCACCTGAAAGACCTCAAATCACACGGCTACCCCCTAGGGGCATCCTTATCAGCTAAAGGAAAGACTCAGGCAAATTGTGATTGGATAGCCGCCCCGGCGAGGTCAAAGTTATCGAGCTGCAAATGGAAACACACTCCGATTTTCGGACGCGCGTTGGTCATCAACAATGTTCTCTTAGCCTCTTTGTGGTACAAGATAGGCTGGAATTTGTGCATTAAAGAGGCAAATTGCAGCCTTCCTTTGGAGGGGGGACAACAAATCCTCCCATGCAATCAGCAGGGTGGCATGGGACTCGATAATCCAACCAAAAGCCAAAGGAGGGTTGGGTATCATTGCCCATCGACGCAGGTCCAGGCGCTTAGCCTACGCTAGGTAAAGATCCTGACCTTTAACCCAAGCTCCCTCTGGCGCTTGTTGGCGATGGTACAGATTGTGGCCCTCCGCCCCCGAGGCTCCCCCAAAGATTGACCCCCTGACCTGGCTTAAGGATAGATATTGGAAATCCCCAGGCTATGTAGGGATGGCGGGCCCGCGGAGGAATTATGGGTGCGCCTACCCTACAATGCCTACACATGGAGGAAACTTCCAATTCCGGACAGACCGACCCTGACCGGTGGGAGGAGGTTTCCAAGCAGCCCCTGTTTGGCAATAGATAGATCAAAGACAGCCATGGCTAGGTTAGGTGCAGCTATAACCCCCCATGGAGAGGGTGGGTCAAGCACGGGGCACTACGGGTGAAGGATTTATGGGATGCAGGGGCCAGGGAGTGGAAAAGCGCAGACAGGATGAGGCAATGGCTGCAGTACTACCATCATACATAAGAGTTTTGGGGGGAGTTGATTGAAAGTTTCCAGCTGGCATGGTACTCTATTATAGAAAGGGCCCCAATATTAAGGGAAGGAGACTGGGTTGGACTCCCTAGGGCGCCGGGTTAGGTAGGGATGGTACACATGGTGGGTAGAAATGAGTCGAAAAATATACTTTGGGGAGGGAGGACACCCTGATAGAGAGTAGGCAGTCCTTCTTATGGCTCCGCAAAACTAAGGTATTCCGTATTAGGGTCATACAAATTCGAGGGGAACAGAAGGCCTTTGGACCGATGACGTCAATAGCGGACCTACCCATCGACCCCGGGGAATGGCAGTGGAACCTGGGGGGGGGGAGGGGAGGAGGAGAGGAAGAACTGCACAACGGTCTTTAACCCTTGCCAACATGAAAGTCAAAACGGCTTACCGTATGCTGAGACAGCTGCGGGACACGCTATGCGACACGTGGCCACACCATCTTAATGTCGATCAGGCTATCATGCGCCCCATTCAATGGTTTCACAAGTCCAAACTGCGGCCGACCAAGATTTCATAGTTGCAATAGCAGGTAGCCCACCGATGTCTTCCCACCAACGACAGGCTGATTGACCACACCAAGCTAGAGCAGCAGGGACAGGCACTGCCTTGGTGCACGAAGTGTCTGCGGGGCACCAGCCATGGAAGAGGAGGGAGACAATCGAACACTTTTTTTTGTCGTGGCCCTCATCACTGTTATTGTGGCGATGGTGGGACAAGATATGGCAGTAGTCTGTAGACAGTCCCCAGTACCGTTTGGCCTTGGGACTGAGGGGCACTACTAACAGGCCATTGGCCACACTGCCCGAACGACCTGCTGACAGGAAACCTCTTCCAGTTGGGCAGACGAACTGTTCTTTGGGTGATTTGGTGGAGTAGATGCATCCAGGAAATTGATGGCGCATGGGTAGAGGAGGGGGAGGTAACAGAGGTAGTTAGACAATTGATACAAGCAGAGATCACAAATCAGTGGCAGGCAGAAAGGACATTGCTAAGATTATCACATGCTTCTATGAAGAATAGCTGGGGGGGAGAAGGGGGGGATGAATGGCGGACGTATTCTGACAAGGAGATAACCCCCACAGAGAGGGAGGGGAGGCACGGGGAGAAATGCCCAGAGACCACAAGTTGTCCTTTCGGGACTGTACTGCGATAGATGCTGGCATTCCCCTGAGACCAGGGGCAGATTCTCCGGATCCCTTCCCCCCCCAGTGTCTCCCATCGTTTAAAATGCCCCTTCCCACACAACGCTTTCCTGATTGTACTTACGGTTCTGAAGGGACACTGAGCCTTGTTCTCAACCTGTGTTTCTCCTCAGTGACCGCCTTCAAGAGTTTTTTTCAATAACCGCGCTTTCAAGAGGGACGCTGGCCCCGGAGAACAGTATGTGGATAGCATGATGATTAGTAGGAAAATGGCCCAGAGACAAGGAATTTTGGGGCCGGCAAGAGAACGGAAGGAAAACCCACTGGTGCCCTCCGATGGCTCTTTCTGATGCTCAGCCAGGCCACAGATTAGGAAAGGAAGGGAAGGGCTGATATGGGATATTGAACCCGGTTTCCAACTCAAGATTTATGTTCTGATGTAAAAGAAGGAAATGATGTATTCAAAAAAGAGGACCTTGGACCCGGTTTCCAGCAGGTGACGCTCCCCACCAATAGATGGAGTAGCCCAACAGGCAAAGCATCAATTCCGGTGGTTCTCTTACCACCACCGGGATAGAGGCCTTGCGCAAGGGTTTTAAGTTCAAAAAAAAAAAAAAAAAAAAAAGCTCCCTCTAGCCCCACCATTACTATGCTACCAATGGCAGGGGGGCCTCCCTTTACCGCCACCAGTCCAACTCCCATAGGTCTGGCCCTTCCTTTAGTGTAATCGAAAACACTAGTTAGCAAAGAGGGCAAACGGGTAACCATTGCCCGTACCCGACCATACCCAACTGGAGAGGTCGCAAAACCATTTTTTTTCCTACCCATATCCGACCCAGCCCAAGCCTTGATGTATCATATCTAGCCGGACCCATGTAAACACAATGTTTTTAACCCAGACCCAGCCCACCCACGCTAATTTAGTTTTTTCTCTATCCGTACCCATCCCACCTAGGGTTATTTAAAAATTGTCTACCCATACTCAGCCACACCCAAGCTAAATTCTCATTCATCTGCATCCAGCCGCACCCGAACCCAGTATCCATCCACCCGTGCCCAGCCATACCTGTGCCCAAAATTTTCCACCCAGGCTTAGTTTTTATCTTTATTTTAAACTTAAGCCTTTGCATGTCGGATTCTTTAGCTTCCATCCACATATCTCCACTTCGAATTTTGGCGGCGGCAATGGGCCAGTGGCTGGGGATACTCACAGTGATACTTTCTTGTCTACGTTTGGCCACAACTACAACCAAATTGCGATGGATCTGACCGCAATTATGGCCAGAGCTTATAAGTGAATGTCGTATTCCCTAAGATGAAATGACTGGGGCCAGACCGAATTAATAATACGCCCTGACCCTAGTACCACCTCCGCCCTAAGATGAATGTCAGACGGCCAAAGACAAATTTATACCAGGGGCACGACCCACTAGTACCACTACTTCCCAGTGAAGAAAAAGTGTCATGGTTGGCCCTAATACTACCTAGGCTTGCCTAATATGCCTAATATGCCTACAGGCCTTGGGTCACCCGCGCGAAATCTGTACCCAGCCGACCCGGAATCAGGGCAAACCTTTGCCCGACCGTAACCGTCCAGGCACTGTGTCAACACCCAGCCACACCCACCCTACAGTTTCCTGCCCCGGCCATATCCCCCCCTCAGATTTCCAGACCCAGCTGCCCCGGTGCATACTAATCATGCCATACCCGCACTCGTGCACAATTGTCGGGTACGGCTGGGTACGGTCGGGTTGGGTCACGGCCACCTAATTTCAACCTCTGCCCAACTGTAACCACCAGGTTACGGGTGGGGCTGGGTACCCCTTCCGAAGGGGGAGTTGGGTATGGGCAGGCAAAAAGAACTGTGGTCACTGTTAGGGGGGGCACAGTTGCCCTTATGGAGATCATAGGCGGGTGTGGGCTGGGGGGGGGAGGGGAGGAAGCCCTGGTATGTGCGGCCAAAAATAAAAATAGAAGGGGAATAGGGAGGTACGGTAGCAACAAAACCAACTGGTATGGGTACAGACGGGTAGAGGTTCCTATCGGGTAACCATGGAATACCTAGTATCTTCCCATTCCATCCCCCCAACCCAGCCACCCCTCTCCCCTCTCCCGCCAGCAGAAGTTATAGGTCTAATTTCTTTTTGCCCCCTGCCTCGTCAAAAGTCCTAAGCAACCAAAAAAAAAATTCCCCACCGCCGGTCTGCTGCGTTGTTGAAAGTCTGAATGTTTCCTGACTTCGAGCTGGGGATCGCTCCGGTACTCACTAAATGCAAAAAAAAAAACGAGAAACACGTGTATC